TTAGTAGTGGGAGATGCAGTGTCATGAGTCGATCATTCACACCCTTTGGAAGACTGGCAAGTTGGCGGACAAGATGGTTCTTAACCGCTAAGCCAACTCCAGACTCACGACGTTGGTCACTGCTACGTCCACACCAAAAGAATGTGTAACCGCCTCCTGTTTCTGTAAGCTGACCTTCATTGGCTAGACGAGTTTCACAGAACTAGGAACTTCTAGGCTTTGTTAGAGCCAGCCTTCAGCACATCGGGGTTGAAAGCCCAACACCAAAAGGTGGGGGTTAACTACCAGCCCTGAATCCTGCCAGGCAATACACCTGTAAAATCCCCAGCTTGCCTCCACAGCTGCACTGAACATGCAGAAGCTCCTATCCCAGTATCTCAGGAGCAAAGTCCTTGATCCACAGGTAAGGTACCACATCAAGGACACACCTTCTCTGACCTTGGTGCTGATCTTACTGAAAGACACAAAACTCAGCTGAAGATATTTCAAATAAAGCAACAGTGTTGCCCTTGGCCAGCCAGGTTTCAGGTGCCAGGTCTGCCACCCCTTTCACAAACAGTTTATGGATATAGGTGATTTTTCTGCACCCACAATCTGTTTGTAAAAGGAGTGGCATATTTGCTAGCACCTTGAAACCAAGCCTTCAGCAAGCTGGCCATATAGCCTCTAAGGATGAGTGGTTGGGTTGAAAGTCGAAATAGTTACCAGTTTGAAGTGTAGAAGTTTACTGTACACTATGGATTTTATGGATTAGACACAGCTTGCATTATTAGATTACTTCCATATTGTTGATTGGTTGGCTGGAGGGAGCCAGTGCGTACTTCTGAGATTCATTGTAATTGTTGAAAAGAATGCTAATATATAGTAATGGTAGACATCCATGGATTCAAATTTATTTCTTGGCACCAAAGAAGCTGCATCATTGGGTGCCCTTCAGTAAATCTGCTTCTCCTGAATCAAAGCTTTCCTTTGTTGAAGGTATATGAGATAGTGTACACCTATAGCAGTGGTGGCGAACCTATGGCACGGGTGCCAGAGGCCGCACTCAGAGCCCTCTCTGTGGGCACGCGCACCGTCGCCCCAGTCCTAGGCCTTCAGCTGTGTTTTATAAAACCTTTTCGCTTTAGGCCTCCGCCGCCATGTACAAGAAAAAAAGGTTCAATCAATCAGTCAATTTCAACTTCTCGCAGGGAAAAAAAGATCTTGCAAAGTTGGAATTGATTGATTGAAATTTTTAGTCCCATCCAGTCTGCTGTTACCACCCAATGGGCCACACTCACCCGGCACCCGACGATGCATAAGTGGGTTTTGGGTTGCAGTTTGGGCACTTGGTCTCTAAAAGGTTCGCCATCACTGACCTATAGAATGTTGCCCAGGATCCTTGTTGCTGAGGTTTTCACTGTAAAGAAACAGAACAGAATCCTACTGCTTCAATTTTCATGGGAAAAAGCAAGTAAATTAGGCTTGGAAGGGAGGAAGCTGATAATAATAGACAAAGATGGTAGTTCTCTTTTTAGAATTTATGACCCTGCATCTGAATTAATCCTCACCATGCAGTTGTTTAAGAAGAAAAACAATCTTATCCATCTCCAGGAACTTGCCTCATCTAACCTTAACTTTATTATTTACATATATAAGCGTTCTTCTTTCCCTTTATTTCCTGGTTTTACATTCAGTTTTTGTTATACGCTGATGTGGCATTTTCTGCTTCCTTTTCCTTGTATTTTGTTAAATTTCTAAAGCCTGGCCTATTGCACAAGCTCTTGATTTGTGTACATTTGATCAAGTGGAAAGCACACAACTGGCAGGACATGTTATAAACCTCTCCAAAATAATCAACATAGGAAAGGGAAGGCATATTTGCTTGGTAATTGAGTTCTGTTACTTTGCCTATCCAATGCCACTGGTAGCTTAGGGATGAATTTTTCCCACGGAATAATTAGAGACTTAATTTGCAGTTTTATTTCAAATGAGTGATAAATATATTTTGGAGGAGATATAAAAAGGGGCAAAAAAGATAAATATACACCTTAGCACACATCCTCATGCTCATATATGATACCTGCACTGAGGGAATGTAACTCCCTGAGACAATATAGTTTGAGATTTTCTGGAACAATTTTATTGCAAATCAGTTGGAGAACTGGTTTTGTGCGTGTGTGTGTGTGCGCATGCGCACATGCAACAAACAATTTTAAAGAAAATAAAATAATGTGAGAGCATATTAATTTTTTAAAATGAGGGAAGTAGGAAGGCAAAACAAATAACCTAACAAGACCTGGGTGAAAAGAGAAGCTTTATAGATTCCCTACAAGGTATTTGTATAGATGTGTGCTATGAATTTGGAAGAGATGGAGAACATTCTAGAATGCAGCCTCTGTTACAAGAATTAGGGTTTGAGGGGGCATAAAAACACCTGAAGAAATAGAATATTTATTGACAACTGTTTGTCTGGTTTTTGGGCAAATATGACAACAAAGTTAGGAGTTAAGATATCCTTTCTCTGGAGTCTATAGAAAGTTTTCGACTAAAATTGTAGCGATGAGACTACGTTCCAGGGGATGTGGGCACAGGAGAGGTGAAAAAACAAGGGAAGGACACCCCCCCAATCTTAGAATTCTTTCAACTCTCATGATGATAAATCATGAACTGTGGGTTAGCAAACCACAATGGTGAGGTTCACGTACACACACACTAAAGCAGGTCAGAGATTCACATGGCTTAAAGCTATGTGTGGAACCAATTACTGGTTCAACAGAGCCTAGCAATTTTATATTTCTGGCATAACCTTTTAATATCTGTAACTACATAAACTATTCTTTAATCTGGTATTTTTGCTAAGAAATGATTAATTTTTCCCTCTGGCATTTTTTCTCCCTTGATGTTAGCTTTCGTGTTAATAGTATATGTCCAGAACTTTGGAGGAAAAAAAAATCTGTTAAATTAGAAACAATTAGGATACTGGAAGTAGTTTACACAACAAGATACACACACCGTCTCATACTACTTGTACTTTTTAAGATCTCAAAGAATTTTATGTTCTATATTAGAAAAATGTGGAAACCCCACAGGGTGCAGCATATACATCAGAGTGTTTGAATCAATTAGCAGTTTCCTGAGTAACACATAACCCATAAAACAAATGTAGCTATCAAGTTGGAAACCAATGGACCTCCTGGTAAGATGAATTAAGTCTTTTATAATAGGTCTATACTGTTTTATTTATTTATTTATTTTATTAAAGCTACATTATTTTTCTTGAGGATGCTTTTCCAGTTCTGTCATTACATCCTCCCTATTCAATGACCAGGATTCTTTGGTTGCTTATCTGCACCTGAAAATGGGGTATTTTTTTCTGGATTTGTGGGGAAATTCCCTACTTGGCAAGGTGGAGGAATCAAGTGGCGAGTAATTCTAGAATTGTTGCACAGCCACGAGAAATCCAGGACTACTCCCCCCCCCTCAAGCTCCGTGGAACCTTATCTATCTGTTCCCAGAGGAAGACAAGCAGTCTGGGGAGATTCCTGTATAATAGATAGAATTGCTTGAACTTGAACTCTTCACATGTTGATTGTTGCATGGGCCTGACAGGATCCCAGAACAGAATGCAGTAGAATTGAAAGAAGCATTTTAATTTTAATTTATTTTTAAAATAACAATTCACAGGGATTTTTAAATCAAAGTATTATATACACAATGATTTAACAAAAGGACAGTTTTAAACAGAAAGATATGGGTAGATTGATTGATTGATTGATAATGTGCCATCAGGTTGGTATTGATTTTTAGCGACAATATAGGAAGATTTTCTTCATGATGATCTGTTCCTAACCTAGTTTTTCAGATCTTCCAAAAGTAAACAGAGAGGGAAGATATCAACAAAAAACAGCCTTGGTAATCCCCCCCCCGTCTCAATCTATATACTTCTCTCCCAGCTTGTAGGCTGATGAGTGAGAACTTCAGATTACAACTGGGCAATTGTGTTGCTTAACATACTACAAAAGCAATGTTTAAAAGCAGAATCTAACAACGTGGTTTATTTCTTTCCAGTTTTTCAAGAAGTTCTCCCAGAAACCTGAGGATGGCATAAAATTCAACAGTATGTACCATATCCAGAACTCTTGTCAGTAAAGTGGCAACCAAATAAATTGTCTCTTTCTATACCCAGGAAAGTCATGCTTATCAAAGCGAGAGATGATCCACCATGTAATATGACTGTTATTGTAATGCAGTTTCTTTGAGACATCTCATTCCTTTTCCACACTTCTGTTACATAGTTCATTTGGGCAAGGACTGAAAGATATTTCTGTCCTTCTCAGATCAGCAGATTGGGACTTCCATTTTGAGATGCCAAAATTCTGCATCCAGATAAATAATATGGGTTATGGGTAAATCAGAACCTGATTAATCTATTTAGAAAAGAACATATGGATTGACTTTCTCTTGTGTATTAAGATTAAAATCTACAGGCTTAACATTGTTCAGAATAACACATGCTTTCTTTTTGTTTTGAACAAAATTGAACTATAACCAGTTGTGGTTGGGTTTTACATTTCCAGATAAACTATGTGAATGCTGGCTTATTTTCTGCTTACCTGGATGAAGACTTAGCTATAACCTAAATATTTATATAATAGCAGCTTTCTGTCTCTAGGGATAACCAAAGAGTATTTCTCTTTGAAGAAACTTAAGAATCTGTAACAAAGAATTCTTAGCATGTTCGTTAGGCTGCAATATGGACATGCCATGGTGTGTGTGTGTGGGGGAACATCATAGAATCAAAAGAAAGCTCCAGAAGAAGAAGCAAAATCTAAAAGCAAAGTAGAAAGTGCTAATCCATTGCAAAGGCCAGCATCTAAGTTCATCTCCTTATGAACTCCAATAGATGTTGTTGATTGCTTCTTGAACTACAGGAGGATCAAACAATTATTCTTCCTTTATTGGTGATACTTGTTAGACAACATTTGTGAAGTTCTTAGTCAAGAGAATTACTCAGACTCTCCGTAGAGGGAATCCCTCTTCAGGAAGTACTGTACTCTGGGATGAGCCATGTAAGAACTAAGTTGGGAGTGGCTCCTTGGCCAGAAGGGTTATGTTTGAGTGGCTAGACTCAGTTTCTCATGTTTACTTTTGTCCCTCAATTCTCAACTGAAAATTGAACTTTAGGGGGATACAGCAGTCAGAGAGAGATATTTGCTGGGACAAATGAGCTACTGTAAACCTATTAGTGACTGGAACTTATCTTCCTCTAAGCAGCAGTTCAGGGAGGGAAAAACGGCTCAGTTCCTCTTGTCCCATATTTAGAGGTTTGATCTTGAAAAAAATCTATAAAGGTTATTTTCATGATGTGATCATTTCCTGTGTACTCTCTCTACATGGATACAAATGATAGTCTAATCAGAAAAAAAAGAAATCCTTGTACTTAAGCAGTTGGAATGCATGTGTCGGCAACAGTCCCCAGTAATCAGGTGGTAGAAGCTGCTGGGACTTTGCCCATGCATGATATCTTCTGGGGTAACTTGAATTATCTTGAGTTACCTTGACTTAGTCATACTGGTTGACTGGGATTTCACAATGGTATGCTCTCTTTCCTGTACAGATAATGAAAAAACCATTGAATCTCTAAGAGGGACCATAATCACTTTAATGGAGAGTCATGAAGATACTTGGCCTTCTGCCAGCCCATCTCTGCGGCCAACAAGGTAATTTGAAAAGAGATTGCAAGACAAACTATCCCTTTTAAGCATCAGTATGCATGCTAGATATTTTTCCTTCAACCCAACAGAATATGTAAACTGAGCATTTACATTGCATTAGATATTTGAAGTGCTTCATTACAACAATCTTATAACATAGGATGTTGTTGTTGTTGTTAATTACCAAGTCGTATCCGACCCATTGCGACCTCATGGACAATGTTCCTCCAGGTCTTCCTGTCCTCTACCATCTTCTGGAGTCCATTTAAGTTCACATCTACTGCTTCAGTGACTCCATCCAGCCACCTCATTCTCTGTCATCCCATTCTTCTATTGCCCTCAATCTTTCCCAGCATTAGGCCCTTCTCTGGTGAGTCCTTCCTTCTCATTAGGTAGCCAAAGTATTTGAGTTTCAACTTCAGGATCTGGCCTTCTAAAGAGCAGTCAGGGTTGATCTCTTCTAGGACTGACCGGTTTGAATGCCTTGCAGTCTAAGGGACTCGCAGGAGTCTTCTCCAGCACCATAGTTCAAAGGCCTCAATTCTTTGTTGCTCAGCCTTTCTTATGGTCCAACTTTCACATCCATACATTGCAACTGGGAAAACCATGGCCTTGACTATACGCACTTTTGTTGGCAGGGTGATGTCTACATTTGGCAGACTGAAGGTATCAGATCCCTGTACCAAAGGAGATCTAAAATCATTTATGAGAAGGAGAACAGAGAAATGGAAAAAAAGTAGAGACTATAGTGAATCAATGTGAACAGATAAATCTGGTTTGTGATTTGTACTGCTGCGTGTGTATTATCTATATGTGTGTGTGTGAGAGAGAGAGAGAGAAATATATATAGAGTGTATATATATATATATATACATCTTCCATGTTGAAAAATCATCATGGAGAATTTAATCAAGTTATGGGAGCAAATATGGACATAATGGTTACCATATTGAAGATATCAGTCTACATATTGAGACCAAAGAAAGGAGACTTAACAGAGTGTGTGAACTATCACACAATAGCCTTAATTTCACATGCTAACAAAATAGAATCATCCAATGCAGATTAGAGCCCTAAATAGAAAGGGATGTGTCAGATGTTTAAGGTGATTTTAGAAAAGCCTAAGAAGCCCAAGACATTTTTGCTGATGCACGCTGGATAATTGAGAAAGCCAAAGAATTCCCAAAAGAGGTCAATATGTTTTTCACTGATTACCAAAATGCCTTTGATTGTGTCAACCCAGATTCTTCTCCGCCTTGTGAAAGATTACTGTAGGAAGAATATTGTAATGTTGCTTGTCTTACAAAAGAGATTATGTCTTACTTCTGTAACCCAAGTTATAATTGCCTTTGATAAAATCTTTATTCAGCTCGATTTGCCTGATTCTGAATGACTGGGTGGCTCGCAGTACACGAAACAGTACACGAAACAGTATAAAAAGAATATCATGGAAACAACAGACAATAAAACCAGGCTCCAAGGAAAAAAAGGAAGAGCAAATGGCAAACCCCAAACCATCTTATCAGTGACTAATATCCAGGAAAGGAGGCACCAGCCTCTTTGGGAGAACAGCCATAGTCCCATAAAATAAAGCAAGTGTGCCCTTAACTAGGAGAGCCTTGTCAACAATGGGTAGTCAGCTGCCCCTCTTTATCTGGTTAATCAATTAGTTATGTAGACCCTCAGATGCAGGTCATAAATTCTAAAAAAGAGAACTACCATCTTTTGTCTATTAATATCAGCCTCCTCCCTTCTGTGGCCCACCCGAACGTCATGTTGTTGTTGTTATTATTATTATTATTATTATTATTATTATTATTATTATTATTATTATTATTATTAAGAAAGCAGCAGGTTTCTTTTCAAAGATTCTGCAATTGTATCCTTCTCTGACAATTAATAGTTTAATTATATTTGTTTATTTCTAGTTTTATTTTGTAGAGAGAAATATCCATTCATAATACGCTCATATTCTCTTGTAAGGAATTGAGTGATTAGCGTAGTGGTTCTCAACCTTTTTAATGCCGTGACCCCAACCGGTCGTAAGTCAAGGACTAAACCGGTCATAAGTCGAGGACTAAACCGGTTGTAAGTCGAGGACTACCCAACCGGTCGTAAGTCGAAGACTTTCCCTGCCCGGGAGCGCCGCACATGCGTGGTTCCGCCCCCTGCGCCAGCCGAGGCGTAGCTGGCAAGCGGCAGAGGCGGAGCAGGCCGACCACCAGCTGGCCCAGCCCAAGGTGGACGCTGCCCTTTAGCTCCGCACAAATGGAGTGGAAGAAGGGTAGAGGGGGGGCTTCGGAGACCCCCGAAGGAGCCAGAGGAGAGACCCCCGAGGAGCCAGAGGATCTGCCCCCTCCCTGGTGAGTTTTCCGGGAGGGGGAGAAGACAGCCGCGGGCCGCTCGCCGTTTTCTTTCTCGGCGGCCCCGGCTTTCCC